CCCAGAGTGCCGTGCTGGCCCTGCCCCTGAAGCACGCTGAGACAGCAATTGAGACTGGGTGTGATGGCACACATCTGTAATCCCAGTGCTTGGGAGGCTGAAAACAGGAGGATCACTATGAGTCTGATCTGTATAGAGAGACCCTATAAATACTGTACTAAATACATTTTTAAAAATAAATTAAATTAAAAAAATAATGTGCTGCTCTGTTTCAGATGGGTCTTGATCCAAATCCCAGCTCTATTATTTATTAGTTGCATGATGTTGGCAAGCTTTTTACCCTTTCTCACCTTCTATTCTCTTGTCTGTAAAGTTGGGTACTAGTATCACCTACTTTACTTGGTTAATTTTTGTGCACTGTTATGGTTTATATCTAGATGCCCCCTTAATGCCTCATGAGTTCTTGGGTGGGGCTTTCAGAGGTGGCTGGATCTAGGGTATGTGATGTTCGGATCAAGGATGTGATGCTTGAGTTGATTCACGAGGCAGATTAATGGAGTTACTGCTACATGCTGTAGAGATGGGTGGCCTGGATAAAATATAAAAGACAGAAAGTGGGCTGTTGCTTGGTGCTTACTGACTTCTTGCAGCAAACCAATTTTCCTCTGTGATGTCTCTCTGCCATGCCACCCTGCCTTGGAGCCAGCCAACAATGGACTGAAACCTGTACAAACTGAATCAAATAAACCTTTCTTCCTTTAACATTGGGTGTAAGATTTTTTGTTGGTTTGTTTCAGCAATGAGAAAAAGTAACTAAGACATGAACCAAGGGGATAATGCATGGGAGACCCCTTAGCAGAGTGGTCACAGTGGCACTCAGTAAATGTCTAATAGATTATTGCTACTATCTTTTAATTCTTGCATTAACTTTTTATGACTAGTTTATCAATTATAAAGATTCACTGAGATCAATTTCTTGCTCTAGGGCTCTGTAACATTGAAGATGTGGGTATCATTGATTAAAAGACTGAAAATGGAATTCAGAAAATTGGAAGTTGTAGTTGACTAGATTGAAAGTCTTTCAAGGCCAGGGATAATGTTAGTTTCATAGACAATTTTCAGTCCTAGTATGGGAATATAATAAGTGCTTAAAAATACATGTTTAAGTCAACTAAGTGTTGAGTTGCCAACATTTCATGGCAATGATGTCTGGTCTATTTTCATTGCTTATAGTAATCAAAGTAAACTACTAGATGCTGGGATTCACTCACTCATTAATATTAAAAAAATGTAAGTGTGGATATGTGTGTTTATGGATGTACGTCTGAATATATATATATAGCATTGTTCATCTAGTCTAGCTTCATTGGAATTAGTGTGTTCCTCTCCCAGTTTTCCATACTCTATTCTCTGGGTTTGAATGTGTCTATAGATGTGCCCATAACTTTGTCCCTGGATTATAACCATTCCAGAAAGGCCTTCCTGGAAGGAGAGCTATCCACATCTGGCCTATGGGTTGTTTGACCCTGGGGTTGAATCTTCAGGAACCTAGCTTTCACTGTGAGTTGGAATAGGTCATAAAGGACAGGCTCACTGAGTTTTCAATTACTGTTGAGGTTTGTCATTTTCTTGAACATTGGACTCCATTTATATCTGGATCATTACATTGGATTGTCATAATGTGTTCATGTGCTAAATACAGTATGAATGTATGCATAGACACTTTGTTAATGATCTTAGGCTTTGGGAGCCTCACAGATATAAATTTAATGTGCAAATTTTAATTTAATTCAACATACTATCAAATGTTTATTATGTGCCAGTCACCATGTTGGGCATCTTCTTTGGGGAGGACTGAGGCACTTAACATTTATGTACTTAGCACAGTGAGTGGTAGGTTCAGTTTTTCTCCCCCCTCATCTCCTTTTTCTCCTTCCCTCACCACTCTTTCCAATGTAAAAATACAGACTCTGTGGGAAAGGACAATGCGTCAGAGCTGTGAATACTCCTAG